ATATATATATATATATATATATATATATTATCTCTATAATATAGTTACATAAAATAAAAAAATAAAAAAACATTTTTTCTGAACACCGTGACTATTTCGTACTCACTTTCCTAAGAATTTATTCGTATTTTAGAATTGAAAACATTACTGACAACACGCTCACAAAATTCAAATAAGTCCAAATGTGATGGTATAAATGCATCATGCATTACCCTTATCAAGAACACAATTTCCTTTGTCTTAGCGCCACAAAGTTAAGGTACTCCAAAAGAAAAACACACACTACCCTGCATCGCTATTATTTTAATCCAAAATCTACCAACATGGATGATACACTATATTGCGATCTTCCTTCACTAGAATCTGTTCAAAACTATATGCTTGACCTAGAAAACGATTCCAACAATCTCTCCATTGTTTCCAACAACGAAATCTACCACTCTCCAACGTATGATCCATTCCTAAGCCCCACATTAGGTATGGAAGGTGTCCACGACGTTCACGCATGTGAACGACCTGTGGACACACTTGAAGTTCACACGCCACCGGTGTGTAAGCATTACCGGGGCGTGAGGCAGAGGCCATGGGGAACATTCGCAGCAGAGATATGGGACTCAAAGAAAACTGGTGGAAGAGTTTGGCTTGGGACTTATAAAATTGAAGAAGAAGCAGCTTTAGCATATGATAAAGCTGCTTTTAAGATGCATGGTAGGAAAGCCAAGTTAAATTTTCCTCATCTTATTGATACTCACACATCTTTGGAGCCGGTGAGAATTAGAAAGGCTTCGAAGCCAGACTCCTCAAAGCCTTGTTCCTCATTTTCATCGGCTCCAAAGAGGCAAGGGTCAAAGAAGAGGAAGAACACGGCTGATTTGTTGAACAGGTTGGCTACCAGCAGAAGCCAAGTGCAAGTGTTTGAAATGGGTTCACATGCAAATGATGCTGACGTCAATGGAGGAATCAATTGAATGTGGTCTCGTGGTGTAAAGGTGCCCACAGTTTTCTGCTATGTTGTTTGGTCTTCTAAACAAAAATAATCGTAGTGATTTCGAACTCAAAAAAATAATAATATATAAATTCAATAAAAAAAAAAAAAAAAAAGAAAAATAAAGTGTTAGGAAAATATTTATATTTGAGAGAAATTTATAATAATGGTTAGAATTTTTAAATGACTTTTGCATACGCTCCTTTGTATGAAAGTGAGGAGTGATTTTGTCATGAATTTTATATTACACGTTAGACATCAATTGATAAAACAAGAAAAAAGAATCGAAATATTTCACTTATTAATTACTTTCCTTGAGCTAATTAGTTAAATTACTTTTTTTTTTACAATAATTAGTTAATTAGGTTTTTTTAACCGCAGTAATTAGTTAAAACTTAAATTAATGTGACATAATTTTCAACCCTTTCCCGTTTTTTCTGCTGGTAAAGAAAATTTCAAGAGAGGATGACAGAGAGACCCTTCAACTGTTATTACAAAGCTATTAAAACTGTAACCGTGAAAACGTAACAATTATTACCTTCAATGGTCCATATCATTAAATAATTTTTATTCATGTTATTATCCCTGCTCTTAGATGTTTTTCCTTTTGTTTTCATTCAATACTATTTTTTTTTTTACATAATTTACATAATACTATAACTTATACTTACACATTATAATAATTGTGGGCATAAATTTACAAAAATATACTAATATATATTGTATGTTATTATAATTTATATGTACATTTTTTAAAATAAATTTATTAACATGTGTCAACATATATTGTACATCTATATAGTTTATACTTATATTTTTTAAAGAATAAATTGGATAACATATTCCAATATATATTATGTGTTACTATAGGTTATACCTACATTATGGATAATTATTTAATTTATTTAATATTATATAAAAATAACATAATCATAAATAATAAAAATAAATTTCATTAGTAATGTCACAACTTAAATAAATATATTATAAATATTTACTTAATTACCCATATGAAAAAATATTGTCATCCAAACATAATAATAATAATAATAATAATAATAATAATAATAATAAATCCTTCATTCATTCATACCAATTTAATACCACAATTCCATAATAACAAGAAATTTTATATTCTTTCATCCATTTATGAAAAAAAAATGAAATCCTTTATGTTACCACTAAGTCAATTCAATATCTTGTATAACAAGTAATATGTTACGCTACTGGATAGAAAGAAACCAAAACTTAAGGGAATGCTAAACAAGAATTGAAATCCAAATTCATCATGTCATTTCTAAAAGAAGTCTGAACAATATAACAAGACTAATATGGGCTTTACACAAGGCCTAACACATGAAAATCCAAATATTTATTGCATTAAGAAGTCTCGGGTCCACTCTGGCAACTTTATTTTACGCTTCAGTCCAGCCTGCTTCCTATCATTACTCTCCGGCCCAACGTGGACCTTGTCCTCAAGGTCAGTCATAGGAACCCCGTGATTGGTTGCTTGGGTAGAGCCATGGATTGACGCTGACGTGGTTGTTGGCGATGCATTTGTGTTTCCTTGTGATGCATCCAATGGTGCTCCCACAATGCATGGGTGAGGCAAACACGTGGTAACAACAACACGTGAGTCATTAGAAAGTGCCACAGACGAGGTTGTCTTGGGAAGAGTTTGAGTACGCGTGGCAAGTGTATTGGAAGACAGAATGTGAGAAGTCCGTGTAAATGAAGGGGTCCCCTCTTTGAATTCATTTGAACGAACTAGAAATGGAGGAGATATCGTATCATCAACGTTGTTCTCCCCCTGAAATCCAATCTCTTTATCTAATGGCAAAGGTGTGTGATGGAGCATCGGATCGTCACCCACATATGGTTTCAACCGAGAAACATGGAACACAGGGCGGATTCGCGAAGTCGTCGACAGATCTAACTCATATGCCACAGTTCCGATCCGACGACGGACTTGAAACGGCCCATAAAATCGACGAGCCAACTTCTGACCTTTACGGTGGCGATGAGAGCCTTGGCGGTACGGCTGGAGTCGCAGCAGCACCCAATCCCTTCGATAAAGGGATGATCCCTCCGCTTTTGGTCAGCCATCATTTTCATTCTTTGTCTTGTTGCCCGCAAGGCATGTTTGATGTCAGATAACACTTGCTGGTGGAGATGTAGGAGCTCATCCACCGATGGCGAAGAGGGGTTGTCTATAAGTAAATCCACCGTGGTAGGCGGATGGCGCCCATACATAACATGAAACGGCGAAGTTCGGATGCTTGAATGGAAGGTCGTATTATACCAGAGCTCCGCTAAGTGAAGATAAGCAAACCACGAATGTGGATTGTCAGCTACAAAACAACGGAGAAAGCCTTCCAATGTACGATTGGTCACCTCGGTTTGGCCATCTGTTTGTGGATGGTATGCAGAGCTAAAGCAAAGTTTAGTCCCAGTAGCTTTGAAGAGGGTCTTCCAGAAAGTGCTCAAAAAAATAGGATCTCTATCGGATACAATAGAGCGAGGGAAGCCATGAAGTCGAAAAATTTCCTACATAAAGCGGTGGGCTAGCTGGTTGGCGTTGAAGTGAGTGGGCATGGCAACAAAATGAGCCGCCTTGCTTAAACGGTCGCACACAACCCAAATGACAATATAACCATGAGAACACGGGAGACAGGTAATGAAATCCATACTGAGATCTTCCCAAATTTTGTGAGGTATAGCTAAAGGTTGGAGTAACCCCATCTGTTACTGTATAGGGCTTTTCATGTGCTGACAAACTGTGCATCTACGAACAAACTCTTGAAGGTCTTTAGCCATGGTTGGCCAGTAAAATGAAGTTGCTATACGATTCAAGGTGGGCTTGTATCCGGAGTGTCCTGCCATTGGGGAACTATGGAATTCCTCCATAAGCCTTGTTCGACAATCAGTGTGGTCAAGCACATATAAACGATGATGAAAATAGAGTAAGTGATTTTGAACTCTGTAGATATCACTGTTGTCGGTTGACTCCAAACACCGTTGAACTAAATCTTTGCCTGCCTCGTCCTGTAAAATACTCGCGCCACTATTGGAGGTATTGAGGAATGACCAAGGAAATGGCCAACAACATCACATTCGAAAATGGAGGTGGAGGTCGGGACAATGCATCAGCAGCAAGCTTATGTCTGCTAGGCCTATACAGAACCTCAAAATCAAAACCAAGTAACTTGGATAGCCAACGTTGTTGTTCTGGTGTGTGTAGATCCTGAGTGAGCAAATGTTGGAGACTCTGCTGATCCGTGATGATCTTAAACTTTCGTCCCAAAAGGTAATGTCTCCACTTCTTTACTGATTCAATAATAGCATACATTTCTCTCACGTAAACTGATTCTGTTTGCATTTTCTTCCCCAACTTCTTGCTAAAAAATGCCACTGGATGATGGTTTTGGGATAATACAACACCGACGGCGACGACTGAAGCATCAGTTTCGAGGACAAAGGCTTGGTTGAAATCTGGAAGAATTAGTGTAGGACTATTTGTGATTTGTTGTTTAAGCTCTTTAAAAGCCTTTTGGTCTGCCTCATTCCATTTGTATGTAATAGCCTTTAGGAGGTCGGTGAGAGGAGAGGCTAACGATGCATAACTGCGAATAAATCACCGGTAAAACCCAGTAAGCCCCAAAAATCCACGCAAAGCAGTTAATGTGTGTGGCACGGGCCAGTCTTGAATGGCCTTGATCTTCTTAGGGTCAGGGAGGACCCCTGTCCCGGTGATGATGTGACCTAGGTAAGCAACAGACTGCACTCCAAAAACACACTTAAATAATTTGGCCTGATAATGATTTTCTAATAGTAACTGCAAAACAGAACGTAAGTGAAATAAATGGACCGTAAATGATTCACTATAGACCAATATATCATCAAAAAAGACTAAAACAATTTTTTGTAAAAACGGTCTAAGTAAATCATTCATGGCCGATTGAAAAGTGGAAGGAGCATTTGACAAACCAAATGGAATTACTAAAAATTCATAGTGGTCGTCAAATGTTCTAAAAGCTATTTTCGGAATATTTGGTGGGTAGAGAAGAATTTGATGATACCCAGATTGCAAGTCGAGCTTAGTAAACACCTTAGCATGGCTTAACTCATCCAGTAGCTCATCAATAGTTGGGATAGGAAATCTATCTTTAATGGTCAATGCATTAAGGGCTCTGTAATCAACGCAAAAACGCCAAGTTCCATCTTTCTTTTTAATAAGTAGGATTGAGGAGGAAAATGGGCTATTGCTGGGTTGAATGATCCCATCTGTGAGCATGTCTGAAATAAGTTGAGTCATAATGTCTTTTTGATAATGAGGATAACGGTAGGGTTTAACATTAACATGATTAGAGTTAGGGGTGAGGGGAATATGATGATCATGAGGTCGAGTAGGTGGTAAACCGGAAGGTTTGGCAAACACAGAGGCGTAGGAGTGGAGTAAGTGGGAAATGTCGGGGTGAGGTCCAAGGTCGTAGAATCTGTCAAGGTGGAAACGGAGGTGATAGATAACAAATGGAATTGGGATATTGATTGTTGATGAACCAGAGCACAAAATTGGTGAAATGAGGCGTGGCTGAGATTGGTGGAGTCTGCAGTGATGGTGAGTTGTTGGTTTTGGTGGGTAAAGGAGAATGAAGGAATGGAAAAATCAGCAGTTACCAGGCCTAAGGTCCGCAACCAGGACAAGCCCAAAACTATATCAGCACCTTCAATGGGTAAAACATACAGTGAAACAAAAAACTCATGTGTTTGAATCATAATAGGTACTAAAGGGCAAACATGAGAACAAGAAATATGTTCTCCATTTCTAACCATAACTTTGAATGGAGTTGTAGGAATAGTAACCAAATTCAAGAACTTAGCAACGCGAGGTTGCACAATGTTGTGCGTGCTGCCGGTGTCAATGAGGATATGAATCTTGTGGCCATGAATTTCACCTTGAAACTTCAGATTCTGGGATGTCAGTTGACCTGTAAGAGTATAGGTAGATAATTGAAAATGAATGCCGGGGTCAGAAGGGGTGGAATCCTCTATGATTTCCTCAACATTTCCAGGTTCCTCAGGAATGGGAATAGAAGAATCTTCATCATCCAATAACAGCAAAAACTTTGGAGTAGCATATTTATGGCCAAAAAAATATTTTTCGTCACAATGAAAACACAAACCAGTGGCACGCCGTTCATGGAGCTGTTGTTGGGACAATTTTTTTATTGGTATAGGGGAGGAAGTGGGTAAGGGAGTGGTAGGAGGAGTAGGCTTATGTGATTGTATTAGGGTGGGTGAGTTGGAAATTGTAGAAGGTGAGTTAGATGAAGTTTGGGAACGAGAGAAACGAGGTTTAGAATCTTGCAATTTATCCTCAATTAATTTTGCTAACCCCATGGCTTGAGTAATAGATTGCGGTTGTAAAATAACCAGTTCACGTTTGATGGCAGGGCTTAACCCCGATATGAAACAATTCAGTAAGGAAGTTGAAGATAAACCATAAACCTGATTAGACAATTTTTCAAAAGCATCCTGATAGTCCGCAACAGAACCCACCTTACGTAACTTATACAGATCTTGCTCATGATTGGCATAGATTGACGGCCCAAAACGCAATTTCAAAGCATTAACAAAGTGTGACCAATCGCGCAATTGTTGGTTACCATGCATCCATTTAAACCAACTCAGGGCTTCCCCCCGCATATAAAAACCTGCAATGGAAACACGTTGCTCCCAAGGAACTTGATAAAACAAGAAATATTGATCAGCCTGAAATAACCAATCAACAGGCTCAGATCCAGTAAACTCACTAAGCTGCAATTTTGGAGGGCGTATAGATAACCCCAAAGAAGGACTAGCAAAATGCATCTGTGGGGGTACAAAATTAGGTGGGGTAGGTAACTTGGACCAGGGATGGCAATAGGTATAGAAGTCGGAGCTGACATGCTCGATGTAATTGTGGGTGGAAGTGTGGAGTGCAAAGTCGGTGAGGGTAACTGAACAGGCAGGGTAAAATTAGACGAAGATGAGGGGCAATGGGTGGGTGGGGTAGGGCCAGAAGTTGAAAGATGTGGTAATTGAGTTAAAACAGCAGATAAAATGGAGGTGAGGGTTTCGTGATTGGTGGCGTGTAATTGTGATTGAGAATCAAATTGGGATTGCAAGGAAGCTACCTGTGCAGTGAGAATGCAAATGGGATCTTCCTCATCCTTATGAGGTTTAGGGTCAGGGTCTTTGGAAGATCAGGGAGGCATGAGGACTAGATGAAAGCACCAATTGTTACGCTACTGGATAGAAAGAAACCAAAACCTAAGGGAATGCTAAACAAGAATTGAAATCCAAATTCATCATGCCATTTCCAAAAGAAGTCTGAACAATATAACAAGACTAATATGGGCTTTACACAAGGCCCAACACATGAAAATCCAAATATTTATTGCATTAAGAAGTCTCGGGTCCACTCTGGCAACTTTGTTTTACGCTTCAGTCTAGCCTGCTTCCTATCAGAATATTATCGTTCATTTATAAAATATTACAAGAAAAATGTAAATTATCGACGGATAATTTTCAACAGATACAAATTTGTCAGAAAATTTCAATTTTCTAACAGATAATTTTTTACGAATACAAATCTTTCGGAAAATTTATATTTTCGATGGATAATTTCTTATGGATATATTCGTCGCTGAAAAATTTATATTATCGACGGATATAATTATCGACAGATATATCCGTCGGTAATTTTCGATCGATGTATCCGTCGGTAATTTTTGAAGGATGTATCCGTCGGTAATTTTTTATGGATTTATTCATCAGAAAATTTATATTTTCAATGAAAAAAATTCGTAGAAAAAGTTATATTACTGATGGAATATTTCTGACAAATTTATATTTATCAAAAATGTAAGAATTTTTTTACAAACACAATTTCCAGCACTCCTTTAAGCAACAAAGATCAAAACACTCACGGATTGAAGAATTTTTTTAAGACATTTTCAAATTTTGGAAACCTAATTTTTTTAAGAAAACTACTAATGATCTAATAGTAGTTCATGAACTCAAACAAAACAAAAATTATGAGCATATACCAAAGGCTATGGATCTCGGCCAAATCCAGAAAAATACTTTTAAGATGCAATTAAAAGAAAATCAAATCGGATCAACAAGCATAGCTAGGAATGATAAACACAAAAAGAACTACACATGACTACTAGACATAGATTCAAAATAAAATGGACTCAAACAAGCAATGACCGAATAAAATTTCAATTATGACTCAAAGAAAACAAAAAGATCTTAGGCAGATTTTTCCTAATAGGCAAAAGAGAATGGAGCATGATTCATGGAAGCATATAGTCATAAAGCATAAATGAATCATTCAAGCACATGATACTAGATCCATCAAACTTTAAGACAAAAAATTAGATCTAGGAAAGAGTAAACTCTAAGTGACAAAGACTCAAAAACAAGATGAACACAAGATGAGAATTATCCACGGATCACAACTTCAAAAGACAAGGAAATGACTTATCTCTTGAAGAACCGAATGCTCTTGATACCACTTGATGTGCTTCCACTTGGAATGCACATGGATGCTTCTAGTCTTCACGGATGTCCTTGGAAGAAGCTTCAAGGATGGAGGTCCACGAAGACTCAAGGTGACCTAAGCTTGCACACAAGCTAAGTCCAAAGAAGAATGGTGACCTAGCTCTACAAAGAGAAGCACTCAAGGAGGGTAGAGTAGGGAACCAAGGTGACTTCGGAGGGATGAATTTCAAGATAGAAAATCTCATCAATATAATCCAAAGTGGCATACAATTCTCGGCCAAGGTGATTTATAGGGAAGAATTAGGTTAAAGTGACCTAGGGTTAACCTAAGGTTAAGTGGAACCAAGGTAAGGTTCACTTAACCTTAGGCGCCCAAAATTTGAATTCAAAATTCAAATTTTGGTGCCTAAAACCCGGATCACCATGTGCTTCTTCATTTGGCATGTAATTAGAGATCAATTTGAGTTGCATTTCGAATCACACCATGTGCATGTGTTGCACATGGCCGAAATGCACTTCAAATGTGATTTTAATTACATGCTGATGAAAATTCACATGCAACCTAAATACCCTTAAATTCACATGGCCTCTAAATGCAAATCCTAAGCTACATGGCCGGAAATACAAGGCCCAAAAGAAAATACAAGGCACTAAGGCCCAATCCTATACTAACCCTAATCTAATGGGCTTGAGACAAAGCCCAACAAAATAAAGTGATGGGCCTTTCTTGGGGTTGGGCCCACTCTTCATGCATCCTTCTTGCCATAGCCCTAGTAGTTGGGCCCTTGGCCCATGGGCTTCCTCCATCATCCCCTCCCTCTTGAAGAGGATTTGTCCTCAAATCCAA